TGGCAAAAATAGTATATCGGGGTTTGAATAGCCCATATAAATCTGGGGAAAAATTTGCATTTTCTAATTTCTTTAAAATTACATAAAGTAAAGCATAGATAATTATTATTTATCATTGAAAAAGTAGGAATTTTGGGGAAACCCCCTAGGCCCAAAAAAATGCCCCCCCTTCGATACCTACCATGTCAATCCAAAATTTGCTCGGGACCTATTTTAAAATGATATATAAAATCCCCAGGGAATGCGGGTAAATATATAAATTTGTGGATGTATATTAAAAAAAAAAAAAGGTTATAGATATACACAATTTATTAACAGAAGAGAAATATTTTAAATCAAACCTCACCATTTGACGGGAGTTTAAATTGTCTGTACAGGCCCCCCCCCCCCCTTTGCCTCATTTATGAAGAATTTACTGCCAAAAATTTAAAACTAATTTAGACATGACTTACGGGGGTTCCCGGGAGTTGCCCTGTCCTGTCGTCTGATTCTCAAATTTCGGGAATGCACATCCAAAAATTTCGCCCCCTTTTGATAGGTGCAGCCCAATTTTTAACCTCTAGAGCAGAAAAATTTTTCCATTTTCAAACTGTTTTTCAATTCAAACAAAATGGCCATGACCCCCCCGCCGGGTTCCCATTTTCGATAACTACTCTTTTAAAAAAACAATATAGGCATCTATTTACCTATAAATTCCCGTATTTCCCGGGAAAAATATATACAGTATTTTCCACATGCGCGACCGGATTTTCGTTGCTAACACCAAATTGCTATTTGGGACAATGGGGAGGCCCGGGTAAATAGGATTGGCATCCACACGGCGCAATTACACAAGATTTAATCCCCCCTTTTTACATTTTGCCGCCTTGGGGAATCCAGAAATTTTCCCCTTTTTAAATTTAAGGTATCTTGTCCCCCACCATGCATTACTTTTTATGGGCATTTGAAAATTAAAATTTGTTAGTGGATGGTTTTGGGCAGTAAGATGGGGTGTTTAGATAATCACCCAATTCAATTTTGTAACCTACCTCTGCACCTAATTACATTTTTCTTAAATACACCCCCAATTTTCCTATTAGGGAACCTTTCAAATTTTTCTTTCATCATCAATTTTTCATTTATAGTTTTCCCCCGTACCCTTTTTACCCAATATTCAGAGGATGTGAAAACTTATATAAATATTTCATTTTGTTTAAAAATTTAAAAAAACCAATTTAGTTACATTGTTTAGTTTGGTAAAGAAGAATCCCTATTTTATAAGGGCTAAAAAGGGAAAACTTTGGAGGGGGTGGTCACAGTAATTTCAAAGGAGAAATATACCCCTTTTGTACAGGCCAATTAGTTTTATTTCCCAAACCCTCGGTCCTTTAAACCAGATACAGCTTTAAAAAATTTAGATAAGGAAAAACCCGAGACAAAAAATCAGCGGGTTTCTCCTCTCAGGTATATGATTAAATGTTAAATATGCTGACCCAAATTTATACTTCTCTTGCATCTGTTTAAATTTCAGAGATCTTTTTGTACGTCCCAAAATTTTACTGTTTCCCATTATAAACCCATTGAAAGATACCCTTTATCAACCAAAACTTCCAAATTTTTTATTTCCTGCAATTATTTCTTATGTAATTAGTTAATTTTGACACTCATAAATGGCTGTAATTCCAACTGAGGAAAGGTACTGATTTAATTGGGACACTTTAGCCTTTGACATAACAGGAAATAAACTATTACATTGAAGGTAGGCAATGCTCCATATGCCAATTTTGAACATCCCCAAAAAATGGGATACATTTTTCCCTTGGGATTGGTCACCGGGCAGGGGAAACTCCAACACGGATTTTCTCTAATCCCCCAATTAATTCATCCCACCTGTTAATAAATTTTTCCTCGGGTAGAATTCACCCAAGCAATTTAAGTTTCCATGTTCCCTGAATTAATAATTTCCCTCTTTTTAAAAGGGGGACACTAACCTAGGGGATCAAAAAATTTGGAAACTTCAGAAAAAGCCTTTTTTAAATTTATTGGGCATAAGTAATTTTGGGTTTTTAACTTTAAAACAAATTTTTAGTACCCAAGTTACCCCAATACATTACTACTTTTTGGGGCATTTTCTCCGGGGTAATTTTTATTTTTTTGTCCTTTAATTTGGCAATTATTTTCCCATTCCCCAGGGGCATTTGGGCATTTGCATTATTTATTACCCTTCCTAAGTCTTAAACATTTCCTTTTCGTTACGGGACCCCCGGGAAAATTGTCCACAAAAAAACTTTTTGCTAATTCCTTACTCAAGGGGACTTTCCATTTTTAAGGTTGCTTTTATCGTCGCTTGAATTAAAGGGGATGATGTGCCCCAAATAATACGCTCCAAAAGCAAAAGTTTCAGGGGCTAAGGGGGTAAATGGGATTCCAGGCCAAAGAAGTGGGTACAATCCCGTCAGCCTTGTAAACCACTTTAGAAAGCTTTTCTTTTCAGCCGTAAAAGGCATAAGCTTCCTCTAAAATTTTTAATAAGATATCCCCAAATTTTTCCCGTCAACGACGGACCTGTTCAGTTTTTAAAATGGGTACTTTTTTGTTACTCCGGGCACTAAAATTTAAAACACATTCTAGGGGAGGGTTTTAAATCCTTCTTATCCTTTATGGGAAAATAGAAAAAAAAAAAATTTTTGGCTTGTAGGAGGTACCCTTTTATAAATTTATTAATTAATTGTTCAGCAATTTATCTTTTTGGGCAGTTAACAATTTGGTGTCTTACTCAGTTCGGGGACGGGCCCTTTAACTGTCCTATGCCTTTCTGTAATTGGGGGCAATTCGGATGGTTCAGTCTCCAGGAAGTGTACCAGTATTGCCCAAATTTAAAATTTAATTCTCGGGTATTTTTCTTGGTAAAAGAATCGTCTGGACTTTCTTCATTTAATTTTTCCAATGCGTCTATTCCCAC